CTCCGGGCAACGCGGCCGGGAGCGACTGTTCGGAGGCAGAGAGGCACCATCCAGCGGCTGCCCCAAAGGCTCTCCCTGCACGCCCTCAAGCTGCTCCCTCGAAAAGTGTTGGGAGTGCCGGGAAGTCCATTAAATAGGGTCCCTGGGTTGTGCATGGAAGTCAGTTAAATGGGGTCGCCGGGTTGCGCGTTGCGGGAAGGGCCAATTCCAGCCCGAGAGTGCAGGGTGGTGGCGTTTCTCTGTTAAAAATTGAAAACCTTCCCCGCCGGCTGAAGTTGTGAAAACAGAAGTGCACGTCCTGGGCGTGAAGCACAATAGGACAGGCGGAGGGACAGGGCACGGCTTCCTCGCCGAGGAACCCTCCGGGTCGCCCCAGGGGCTGTGGCATGCAAGGGGAACTGAGATCGTGGGGCCTCCGACATCCTCCTCCTCCTAACAGACAGAAGACAAAATGGAGACAAATGGTCAAGCAAACGAGTAAACTAGAAAAGATGGGCAGACAGTCCGTGCACAGAGATTATGTAAACACCCAACTGTGCAACAACATGCCCTGTGATCTTTGGCACTGCTTTCCCTGCAGGTCATGCAGGAGAGATGCTGTGTGACTCCATGGCATGTCCTCCCACAGCATGTCCTCCACTGCGTGTCCTCCACGGCCAGAAGCCCCTTCTGCTGCCCTGACACCAGCTGGCGATGCTGCCCTGAGTGTGGTGCCACCAGAAGATGTTCCAGCTATCGGGTGCAGCACCTGGGTGATGCTAAAGTGCCGAGGTTAATCCCAGCACTCCGGTTTTGAGGGGCAGGCAGCAGAAAGGCAGCGTGAACCCCAATTTATGGCCTTCCCGCTTCTCCCCACTCCGCTTCGGTGCAGGACAAGTCGTTTCTCCCATGCATTGGCTTCACCTCCGGCGCTCTCCAGCGGGCCTCGAGCTCCCCTGTCAGCCCCTCAAAAAGTGAGAGTTTAGAGGGTACTATTTTTTAATAGAAAAGGCAAAGCAGAGCGTTTTCAGATACAGGCAGCTGGGCCGGGGAACGGGAGTTATTTACGGCGGGGCCACATCACGCGTGGACAGGCTGTCCTGGCGACGCGGCGCGTCCGATGAGGCCCCAGCAGGCTCCGGCGGCTGCCAGCACCTCCCTCCCTCCCACTCCCCCAGCTCATCTCCCTGTAGGTGCTGGAGGAAGCCCTGGCCACCATTTTGCTGCTCTGCTGGGATATTTTATTTCTGGGTGGCTGTGAGCCGTGGGGGTTGGGTGCCGAGCGCGGCCTTCCCCGCGTGCGCTGCCGCCGGATCAGCTCTCCTTGCCCTGTCCCCTGCCACCTCCGTGCCCCTTCAGGAGGGTGAGACCTTTAAAGTGAAAGGAAACACGTTAATAATTAAAAAAAAAATAATTAAGCAAATTATGGAATATTAGAAAAAGAACCATCTTGGCAGAGGAGTGGGCGCCCCAGTCCTTTAAAGGTTTTGGTGCGCAGCAAAACCGTCCGGGCTGGGGAAAAAAAATAGGAGTGAGGAAACGGGGGAAAGCTTTTCCCTTTGGGATCAACTACAAAGAGCAGGCGTTCAGGTTGGGAGTGTGTCTTTTCAAAGGACAGATATGGCAGGTACACGTCGGTGACAGCAATAATAATACTAATAAATTTATAACGAACAGCAACGCACTGGTAACTGCTCCGCTCCCCTCCCCGGCGCCCCCGTAAAATAATACCGAGTCTCCTTGTATTTCCCTCCCTGGTGTCTGTGTGTGGCCTTAGCCCCATTCATCATTTGGCTCCCAGTGCAGAACTCGCTCCATTTTTAAAATTATGCATGATCCACTGAAGAGACAATTTGGGTTTCCCCCACCTCTCCCTTGCCCTTGAAGAAAGCGAGCCCTTGTCTCATTTGCATTAAACCCCGGCTCTCTATAAGCTAGGCAAAGGGGAAGGACTTGAAGCCTATGGGATGGCTTTAGGGCTCTGCCCCTTGCTTTTGGCTCTCTCTCTCTCTCTTTCTCATTCTCTCTCGTGCTTTGATCTCTGCTTAACAACAGTAACGTCACAGGGACTATACAGGAGAGTTTTGTTGGAAGTTAGAAAGTTTTGCAGCCTCCAGAGGGCTGTAGCGGCAGTAGCAGAAGCAGCATCCAAGGGACTCCTGGAAGGGGAAGAGAGAGAGCGAGCGAGCGACTGACTCAGTCCTGCTGCAGAGAACTGACTCGAGGCGACGGAGGCAGACATGGAACATCAGCTGCTGTGCTGCGAGGTGGAGACCATCCGACGAGCCTACCTGGATGCCAACCTCCTCAATGACAGGGTGCTGCAGACAATGCTCAAGGCGGAGGAGACCTGCTCGCCCTCCGTCTCCTACTTCAAGTGCGTGCAGAAAGAAATCTTGCCATATATGAGGAAAATAGTTGCCACTTGGATGCTGGAGGTTCGTATCTTTTCGGGGGATTTTTCCCTTTTGCAAAGCTTCGGCACCGAAACGAATTAACCCGGGGAGCTGC